ACAGCTTTTGATCTGTGTATCAAGGAAATAGCTTCTCTAGTGACAGCTTTAATCTGTGTATCAAGGAAGTAGCTTCTCTAATGATAGTTTTAATCTGTGTATCAAGGAAGTAGCTTTTCTAACGATGGTTTTAATCTGTGTATCAAGGAAGTAGCTTCTCTAGTGACTAGCTTTGATCTGTGTATTAAAGAAATAGCTTTTCTAGTGACAACTTTAATCTGCGTATCAAGGAAGTAGCTTCTCTAGTGACATCTTTAATCTGTGTATCAAGGAAGTAGCTTCTCTAGTGACAGTTTTAATCTGTGTATCAAGGAAATAGCTTCTCTAATGATAGTTTTAATCTGTGTATTAAGGAAGTAGGTTCTCTAGTGACAGCTTTAATCTGTGTATCAAGGAAGTAGCTTGTCTTGTGAGAGCTTTAATCTGTGTATCAAGGAAGTAGCTTCTCTAATGATAGTTTTAATCTGTGTATCAAGGAAGCAGCGTCGTTATTGAAACTGTAGCTTGTCAAGTAACGGTTATAATCTGGGTATTAAACACACAGTTTGTATAATGATAACTCGACTTGTTTATTGAAACTGTAGCTTGTCAAGTAACGGTTATAATCTGGGTATTAAGCACACAGTTTGTATAATGACAGACTCGACTTGTTTATTGAAACTGTAGCTTGTCAAGTAACGGTTATAATCTGGGTATTAAGCACACAGTTTGTATAAAGACTAACTTGACTTGTTTATTTAAACTGTAGTTTGTCAAGTAACGGTTATAACCAGGGTATTAAACACACATTTTGTATAAAGATTAACTCGACTTGTTTATTGAAACTAGTATGTCAATGTTATAACCAGGGTATTAAACATACAGTTTGTATAATGACAGACTCGACTTGTTTATTTAAACTGTAGTTTGTCAAGTAACGGTTATAACCAGGGTATTAAACACACATTTTGTATAATGACTGACTCGACTTGTTTATTGAAACTAGTATGTCAATGTTATAACCAGGGTATTAAACGTACAGTTTGTTTAAAGTCAAATAAAGGTTATAATCTGGGTATTAAATATACACTGCTCGAATTGTTAAATAAAACTATAGTTGATGTAGTGATAGCTGTAATCTGTCCATTTAATGAAAATACAGACTTCAAATTTTATATTGTCCAATTGAAAGGGTACATTTGAATTGTGTGGTCTATAGAACAGGATAAAATAAGTCTTCAAATAACGTGGCAACTTTTTGGTAGGTGTCGCTTTTCTTTGTATGCAAATCAGTATTCGTGTGATGCCCAGACACAATAAAAATTATATTATTTGATTAACATTTCACAGAATTTAGTAATGTCGCGACAAGTATTATGTTTCCAAACGTGGGAGAAAACATACCCTCTTCGTGCGAAAGTCAACCAGACATCCATTATACTGCTGCTAAGTCTCCGTTCGTCTTCAGAATATTCGTTACCCATTCTTAAAGGAACTCCAAAAACAAACTGAACCTCTTCGAAGTGACTCACACCCATCCATTTACCGTTAATACTGTTACTGGGACGATGTGTAAAAAAATAGAAATACGAGTTACTGTTGTGATCCGCAACATGTTCCGCAACGTGCACGGCAGGGCAGAGAATCAAATAGTCACCAACAGAATCATAGAGGGCTTTGCGGATCGACAATCATTATAGAATAATGCTGATCAACAGATTAGATTCTTTACGAATAATGTGCCTTATGAGATTTTAAGTATTTCATAATTTATTATCAAAACATAAAAATACGAAACGTGTAAGACCATGGACATACATGAATTGTCTTTATCTAACATAACCAAACTGTGTCCATCTTTACTACACTGCAAATAATGTGACGTTCGGGGGAATTTGACTGGTTTGTTTGTTGATTGATTGGTTAGTTCTTAAGCACAAATTTACTTAATGGGCTATCTGTGCTCTGCCTACCACGGATATTAAAACCTGAAGTTTAGCGCCGTTAGCCTTCAAACTTACCGTTAAGCCTTGTTTTGAGACATAAGTATTTACAACATCAGCTTATCTTTGATTTTAGAATTATCTGTGTAGGGCAGATTCGAACATCAAACAGGAAGTCAAACTGAGTATATTTTGTAAAACAACATTGACTTCTTTCAGTTTTATTGTCCCATTCCTAGTGGATCAGCGATAAGGTTGAAGGCTTATAATGCTAAAAACCAGGTTTCGATACCTGTGGTGAGCATAGCACAGACAGTCCATTGTGTAGCTTCGTGCTTAACAAGAAGAGTAGTTGGTTTTAGCAACACTGCTCGTAGATTAAAATAGTGACACTTAAAATAATGTGAAGTTGTTTGTTCTACTTGGATGTAGCCACCTAATCCATGGAATAACTATAAACATTAACTAAGCCTTTTCATTCAGTGTACATACTTTTACAAAGCATTGTTACGATTTAGTCTCTTGTATAAATCTCGTGTTAAATGAAAGTTACTTCCAAAATGTCATTTCATTCAAGTCTTTGACCGAAATTTAACTCAAATTTTTCCATCCTAATTTCTCAGTTTCTACTCTTGAATAAATATTTATCGCATTGTAAACTTAATATCATTTAGATATTAACATAATTATTAACATAAAATAACGATTATTATTATTATTTACAGATATTCAGAAAAATGGCTAAAGCTAACGTCTTTATCCTTTTATGTCTTGAGCTAACCTTTCGAAGCTGTAACAGTGAATTTACTCCTGTCATCAAAACTAACAGTGGGAGTCTTCGAGGACAGACATGCAGAATATTAGGTAAACCCATTTTTAAGTATCTAGGGGTTCCATACGCTACGCCACCTGTCGGCAATCTGCGATTTGGTAAGCCTTTAGCCGTTGGTCAGTGGGATGGTGTATACGAAGCTACTGAACAGCCTTTACCATGTGTTCAGAAAATAAAATATTCACCTTACCCGTGGAAAACCAACCAGTCTGAATCTAGCGAGGACTGTCTCTATTTGAACATCTGGACTCCAGAGTTAATCGGTACTGGTGAGCTTAGACCCGTTCTTGTATGGATTTATGGAGGAAGTTTTACCCACGGGTCTATTGACATTGATTTCTATGATGGGTCGGTGCTGTCAGCTTATGGCGACGTCGTGGTGGCAAGCATGAACTACAGGGTAGGGCTATTTGGGTTTCTTAACGCTGGTACAAAGTCTTGTCCAGGAAACATGGGACTTCACGACCAGTTACTTGCCATGAAGTGGATCAAAGAAAATATTGAATTTTTTGGCGGCGATCCCAAACGAATTACACTTTTTGGTGAAAGTGCTGGTGCAATATCTATCGGCGCTCATCTTGTGTCTCCTCTGAGTAGGGGTCTTTTTGCACGAGCTATTCTTCAGAGTGGCAGTCTTTATGGGCCCATAGTGAAAGGAAGAGACGGCCTTAGTGGAAGAAGTAAGGTCAGTGAAATTTCGAAGCACGTGGGGTGTTTAAATGACGAAGATGTGGACATTGAAAATATGGTCAAGTGTCTGAAGACTGTTCCTGCTGAAGAGCTTCTAGGAGCCGCCAAGGAGAAACGAGGCGATTTTGGACCAACGTTTGGTGATGATTACATCCCCATTGATCCCAACGAGGCATTTAAGACAGGGTCATTTCAAAACGTAGAACTTCTTATCGGAGCCAACAGAGATGAGGGTTCTCATTTCCTTCCTTCAATGTTCCCACAGATATTCGATCGCCGTAATGACGAAACAGATGACGTAACGAAGGGAAACGCTGCCTTATACATGGAGATGATTTTTCGGAACTTCCCGGACATTGAAAGTGAGCTCGTTGCCCAGTTTTACTTACAGAATATCTCAGTAGATGACCACGTAATTGTATTCATTTTAATCTTTTTATGATAATGATAATCGTTATGAGGTGGTTTGAACAGTATATTTAATTAGTTTTACTCATTACTAGGTGTATAGTTTAGTTTCCATCTACGTAGACAGATTGTTTTCATCAGAAGCTAATATTAATAACTACTAACACAAAGGTTTTAACAAGAGGGAGCTCTAATTACCAAAGAGGGTTTGAATATGAACAGTGAGCTCAAATTAACAAGAGTTCTAATAAGAACAGTGAGCTCAGATTAACGAGAGTTTTAATAAGAACAGTGAGTTCAGATTAACGAGGGTTTTAATAAGAATAGTAAGCTCAGATTAACGAGAGTTCTAATAAGAACAGTGAGCTCAGATTAACGAGAGTTCTAAT